GCCTATGCAGCAATGAAGCACATTGAGTTGTACAACCCTTTCTCCCAGCCTAACATCAGGGGCTTGTTGTGCAAGTAAATACGCACCAGACTTCTCTGAGCATCTCACAAATATGATGAATAAAGCATGCAGAAGTAAGTTCCAAAATCAATGGTACTTACTCCAACTTAATGTATTCAGGACCAGGGTGTAAATTTTCCAAATTGCATATACTCCCGCTAGGAATCATAAGTGCTCCCTGTGCATATAGCTTATATTTATATCTCAATTAATTAAGCGCTGTGAAATCCTTTGGGGAGTAAAGGGATGGTACATGGATGCCTGGTGCTTATAGCACATTTATTGGAGATTTGTAGTATGACTTTTAAACGAATGTTTAAATGCAACTTCCTCTTCCATTTGTCTTCTTCCTTTCAGTGTAAAGTTGTCTTTACTGGGTTTATGATATATCACATCATTTATAAATGTAGAAAATGCACGTACAGTGTGATCTTCTCAGGCATGAGCCCTGTTGAATTCAATGGGACTTATTCCCGAGTAAGCATACAGAGGAGTGCAGTCTTACTCTTTTATGATATTCAGCCCAACCTAGATTTATGCAGACATAAGTTCCATTCTGTTCAACGAGACTTGAATACTGCTACATTAAGATTTGTTTATTTTCATTTACATGGATACTGAGAATGGTGAGGGTGAAATAGGGAACTCCATAGTAATCCAGACACTAACTCTTGCATTTAGCTTGACTTAAGGCAGGTTAAAATGTCACCACACCTGCATGGAAGTGGACAATTGGTGCGTCACCTGCAGCTATAATAACTAAAGAGTGTAAAGACACTTGCTACATTGTTTATCTAAATTGCCGGGAGCCTTAATGCTGCAGAGTCCTTAGCTGGCTTGCCCAGTGAGCTCACAGAGAAGTGGCTAGCTGAGTGCATCACCTCACTACGGGCACAAACTGATTCAGGCCAAGTGGTTCAACCCAGGGCTGTTTGTAGCATTGGGCCAAATAGTTCGGAAGAGGCACTGAGACAAACTCATTGATCAGCCAGGAAAGAAGTGAAACTGCTAGCCAGTCTCACGTGCAGCAGTATGAATATTTAGGCCAATGCTTAAGTCACACCTGCCTGTATTAGGAACATTTCCCAAATTATCTTTCAAAATGACTAAAACCACACCACCAGGAAAACATCTGAATCCACCCATGTTGGGGAAAACAGGACGGCCTCAACATGACAGGCAGGGCTGCAAGCACAGCAGTCTCCTCATCTGCTGATCTACATATACAAAGACATTCTGAACTTCTTGAAATTCTACTCTTGCAGCTTTGAAAGGCACCAAGTCCCACCAGAAAGGAAAAATACTGATCCTTCTCTGGTGTCTTGAAAGGAAACTATTTATCTCCAGATTTAGGCAGCTCTACCACACTTTCTCTAAGGAGAGTAAGTTTGCGTGTGATTTTTGTCCACCCTTTTCCTGTTTCACCCTGTTTTTTGCTTCTTCACCTTTTCCCTTTCCTGTATCAACTTCTGGACTCCAAAGTGTTTGTCGCTGGGGTTGCCCAACTGCTCCTATGAGAACCAAGGCCTCCTGTGTCACCTGAAAGCCTAACAAATGCATTATGTCAGGGATATGGAACCTGGGGCCCTCCCATGCGCTGCTGAACTCCATCATCCTTTGGCCATGCTGGCTGAGGTTCCCATTCCAGGTATGTTTTCATAGACTTGAGTTCCTTTCATCCTGTGCATAACATAGTCTGCCAGAGCTTATGTCACAGTAAATGTGTGAAAGGTTTTCAGGTACCACAAGACTCTTTGTCATTGTTGGTTTTGCTGCAGTAGGCTAACAAGCCGAGAACCATTGCAGCATAATGGTTACAATGTAGGGGGGCCAACCTGAATAAAATTTGGGGAGGGGAAGTAAGCCCCACCCTGAATAATTGATCATAACTGAACCAGACAGAGGGCCTTCTCGGTAGTGGCGCCCGCCCTGTGGAACACCCTCCCTTCAGATGTGAAGGAAATAAATAACTATCCAACTTTTAGAAGACATCTGAAGGCAGCCCTGTTTGGGGAAGTTTTAAATGTTTGAAGTTTCATTCTGTTTTTAGTGTTCTGTTGGGAGCTGCCCTCAGTGGCTGGGGAAACCCAGCCAGATGGGCAGGGTACAAATAATAAAATTATTATGATTATCACAAGATGCAGTACATGCACATCATTTGAATGGCAATGCCTATGAACTGGGGGTGAGGGGTAGGTAGCCCCTTCAAATATTTCGGGGGGGGGGGCTGAAAGGACCTCAGCCCCTAGGAGTTGGCTCCTTTGTTACAGTGCCGGACTAGGACCTGGGAGACCAAGGTTCAAATCCCTAAAGGTAAAGCGACCCCTGACCATTAGGTCCAGTTGTGGCCGACTCTGGGGTTGCGGCACTCATCTCGCTTTATTGGCCGAGGGAGCTGGCATACAGCTTCCGGGTCCTGTGGCCAGCATGACTAAGCCGCTTCTGGCAAACCAGAGCAGCGCACGGAAACACCATTTACCTTCCCACCGGAGTGGTACCTATTTATCTACTTGCACTTTGACGTGCTTTCAAACTGCTACCCTACTTGGCCATAAAAATTCACTGGGTGACTTTGGACCAGTCACAGCCTCCCAGCCTAACCTACTTTGGAGAAAGAAAAGGTAGGGAATAAATGCAACAAATAAATAATCAACAAACATGGCTCCCCCTTTGGAAATGGTTCCAAGAAGTTGTTCAGAGAAAGGAAATGAGTCCCCTCCCCGCTCTCAGAGCTCCTTTGCTCTCTTGGGGTTTCTTCCAGCTGGTTCCTTTGCGAGTCTCCTCCCAACTCCAGCAACCCATCTTCCTCTCCCCCCAACCCCCCGCCCCTCTCGAGGGTCCATCTGCTTGGTGCTGCCGCGCCTCGCCCTCGCTCCTCGCTCCCTCCCTCTCACGCGAGTCCCTCCCTTCCCTTTCGAATCTTCCCCGGCCGTCGCCTAGGCAACCAGCCGATACCGCGTAAATAGGCACCCTGCAAAAGCAATGCAGCCGGGGTAACAAAGGAGCAATAAAGGAGCCGAGCCTTCTCAAATGAGGCTGGCCGAGAGAAAAGAAAGGAGTCCCCAGACTAGCTCAGTTTGCCCTCCCTTTGATGCAGATGCTTGTAAGAGATGCCTGTGGCCGCCGCCGCTGCCTCCTTCCTCTTCCTCCTAAGACAGGATTCTCAACAGCGATTTAAACCGACAGCTCCCAAATAATGGAGATGGAAGGGAATATGGTGGTGTTCCAGTGAAGAAAAATCAACAGGCTCCAAAACTGCACCTGGATGCTAATGGATTTATCCAGATGACGTTTCGGTTGGGGACTGCCACATGTGCACACACACACACACACACACGGTCGGTTTGCATCAACTAGTGCTCTCGGCTGCCTGCCCGATTTCCCCAAAGGGCGATAAGCCCTGTTTGTTGGAACGATGCACATCTACAAAAAAAAGGGGGGGGCTCTAGGGGAATATAACTTGGAGAGTGAATAATGCATCGAGCTGAAGCAGCGTGTCTAAAACCGTCGTCGTCGTCCCCCATCCCCTTTCCAAAAGAGCGAGAAATAATGATTAAAACAAAGAAATCGCGGTTGGCACGAATGGATTTCCACCACGCGATCCATTTTTCCCGTCCTCCGGGCTGGAGAAAGGAATTGCATTTGAAGGAATACCGCGGGGGAGGCGAGGGAATAAGGAAGGAAGCGGGGAGGGCGGGGGGAGAGAGAGGAGGAAAGCTTGATGTAAAAACCAAATGCCTCGTGGTGTATTTTGCCCACAAGAAACTAAATATTCTTTGACTGAGTGCCATCTTGCTAAAAATACTAGAGTGTTGGCAAGGGAAGGGGGGGTATTACTGAACGGCAGTGAGTGCACAAATCTGGAGCCATCACACAATGAAGTCCGTAGGGAGGGAGAAAGGTGGGCTGTGGAGCTGCTGCTTTGCAAACCCCCTTTTAGAAACCATCACCCCCCCAACCTCAACCCACCGGCATTTTGGTATCCCGAGTGATGTGATTGCTTTCGAAGCAGCGAGAGGAGAGATCGCTCGGCGTTTGCTATCACTCCACTGTAGCCATTTAAACTGAACGGGCGGAAAGGGGGCGCGAGAGAAAAAGCCCACCATGAAGCTATGCTAGGGTTGTACTCCTAACAATGCAAAGCTAGGTGTGCCCATAGCTCACGGATTTCGATGGGTGGGGGGAGGGAAGGAGGCGAAGTATAGGATCAGGCTGCGCGGTGCTTATGGTGGGAAGCCCCCTCCCCTGCCTCTGTCGAAATCCAGACCATTCGCGTTTGCACACAAGCCATCATGGCTCCGACGTGCACCACATGGAAACGAATCAAGACTCCCGTTCCATTTGACTAGGAGCGTTTTCCAAGTACACGTGGACGCTTCTCTCGCTCGCTCTTTTTGGAAAACACACAAGCAGCTCTTCTTGATGGCATTGGCTTCATTTCATCATCATCATTTTTTTAAAGGGGATTTGCAGTCTCAGCAGCTTTTTTTTAAAAAAAATTTTTTAGATACAAATCAAAGTTAATCAGGCAGGGAGATTTAATTAGACCCGTAGGCTCCTCGCAAAATATTTTATTTCAAACCAATATTGATGGGGGGAAGGGCACTCTCCCTTTCCCTAGCCATGGCAGCAGCGGCGACGGCAGCTGGTGGAAGCATTTTTCACATCTGGCCTACAGACCTAATAACGTTCAACTCGTGATCTCGTTTGGCGAAACTTGATCTACGTGGTTTAAATACCTTCCAAATTGGGACGATTGAACAATTGCAACCAATTAAGGGGGGGGGGAGCGAAACCTCGAGCCTCCATATCTGTTGAGTCCTCCACCCCCACCCACCTCTTCGAGCTGAAAAGGGGGAGGAGGAAGAGGCATGGAAAGGGGGGGGGAGAGGCAGCGGGGGCGAGAAGATGAAATCACAAACACACACACAAGTCAAATCATTGTCTCTAACTTAACACGGGGCTTGGGGGGAGGAGAAGGAAGACACGGAGAGACAGACACCAAACAGAGGCTCCCACCACTGCAAGAAGAGGGATACCTTCTCTCCCTCCCCCCCCCCCGCTTTTTATGAGGAGTGTTCGTCCGCCAGCGAAAGGAAAGGGAAATAAACTCTGTCTCCCACCGTGCAGCGTTCGATTCCCCCCCCCCCCCGCACTCCCCCGTTTTTTAAAGAGAAATCGGGGTGCACGCTCTAATCTCATTAATTTATTTATATTCTTCGGAGTATTAATTATCAGTCCAAGGCCGATTTCAAATTATTTGCAATCGCAGCTCCATTGTTCGCTCCAATTGGAGGCCCCGCCCCCTCTTTTGTCTGGCGGCGCCGTGATTGGTCGGCGGCGGGCGGGGGCTGCCGTCAGCGCTCGGGAAGCCCATTCATCTGTGCACTTGGGCGTTGGACTCCGCATCTTATTAGCGACCAGGGAGATTTCTCCATTTTCCCCTTGTCTACAGTACGGCTACAAATCTGGGATTTTTTATTACTTCTTTTTTTGTACTAACCTTGGGCTTCTAATATTTTTGCTCGACTTTTTTCCTCCTTCCTTTTTTCCCCCCCTTTTGCTTCTGCGCTGCTGCTTTTTTGACCTCTCCAGCTTTTAATTTTTTTTTTAAATAAAAAAAATCCGGGAGTGTACATATTTTAAAATAATCGGTTGTCTTCTCTCTTTTTTTCCCACCCCCACCCCCATCACCTCCTCCTCCTCCCCCTCTGGTGTGTGTTTGTGTTGCTGCTCTTCAGGCTGCTGGTCTCCCAGCATTTATACGAACCCACCGCTCTTTGTTTCCCCCCTTCTTTTGGATCTGTTGAGTTTCTTTGTTGAATAAAACCAGCATGGGTGCTCAGTTCTCCAAGAACGCTGCAAAAGGCGAAGCCGCTGCCGAGAAGCCCGGGGAAGCGGTGCCTGCGTCGCCTTCGAAGGCGAATGGACAGGTAAGCGGGGTGCAAATGGGGAGAAGCGAGGAATGATGATAATGGAATAATGTCTCTCTTTCTTTGAAGAAAATAAATGGTGTGCACGGTGTTTCGTTCGGCTCCCACTTTCTTGCTTGGTGGGGATGCATGGCTTTTTTTTTTTTTAAATCTGACTACAGCCCTTTAAAAGAAAGGTAATGAAAAGGAGTGGCTTTTCGCACTGCTGTGGACCCAGTGTTTTAGGCGTAGTAGTGTGGTGGAGGCAGAAATTTGCTAGATGCTTGTGTACAGTGAGATGTGTTTTCCCTTTGGCGTGGTGCACAATTTGCTGCTTATAAACTGGCGGCATCTTTGAAGACCTTTTTTGCTGTATTCGTGCTCTTGGTTGGAACTGATCGTGTGCTCCTCTCGATGGCTTCCTATCCTGTAGCAGCCCCTATTCTGTTCTCTTTCTCTCTGTCTCTCTCTCTCTCCCCCCCCCCCAATTTCTCCTCTTTGGCGCGTGAGGAGAGTGTAGTGGAGCTTGGCAGTGATAAGGCAAGAGCAAGCGACAGCGGTGCTTGGTGGGTGGGGGGCGCTGGAGAGTTGTCCGTGTGTATTGGGGAAGGGGCTGAGAGACCGTCTTCTCCATCTTGCTTGCTGGATCCTTCTTCGCTCTGTCGGTTGCCTGCATACAAGCTTGCGGCACACGCTGAATGTGGTTGATCGTAGACGGCACTACGAGACCCCCTCCCCAGCCCCGTGTGCATATTATTGTCGTAACCAAGGCTACTCTCCCGGCATTGGTGGGAGATTAGGGCGAGATTTTCGGAGAGGCGCTGCTGTGCGCGCGCTTTGGAGAGCTGTTGCTAAGGGATGCGCGAGCGTGCCGACGGCACCGGGCTGAACGTGGGGCAGCCCGGGCGGCTTGCGCGCCTGCAACCGCGTGCATGTGCATGTTGCATGTGGCGGCGCTTCGCTCTCGGCCGGGCGCGCCACGCTGTGGAGGGCGCCGGGCTGCACCACGCCTCTTAGTGGCAGCTGCTGTCTCGTCGCCTCGCCGCTCCACGGAGGAGCTGGAGGCGCGCTTTGCATAGAAATAAAAAGGCAACCGGTGCGCTGGGGAGCGGAGGCGCCGCTCCTTCCACTATGGTGGGCGGGAGGTGGGGATTGGTCTCTCCGTTTGGCACCAGGAAGGAGGTGGTGGTGGTAGAAGGAAGGGGCTGGGAGAAGCTGCGGCTGCGGACGGAGCTTTTGTTCGCCCAGCAGAGGCGATCCTGGCCAAGGCGACGCTTCCTCCTGCTTCGCCAGCGCTTCTCTCCGAAGTCTCCTCCCTCGGCGCTTCGCTCCTCCTTCGGGTGGCTTTGGCAAAATGGAGCCGCAGTGCCCTCTGCCGGCGGAGACTCCTCGCTGCCTTGGCCTCGTTCGATTCTCGCAGGGTGTGTTGAGAAAAGGTGGTGGTGATGATGGGTGATGCTCGCGCGCGGGGCGGGGGGGAGTGTTGATTAAATCGCAGAAGGGAAGCAGCAGCGTGGACGGCGGCCACGCGGCGCGTTTCCAAACGACGCTAACTGGACGCCGCGCCCAAATAGCTGGGTGGGGGGAGCCCTGAAGGGACGAGCCGGAGTGAAAAGGGCGCGGGGAGGAGGGGCTTGCGTCTGAATGGCGTCGCCTCCCCTCCCCAGAGCCCGGCCATTGCGTCACGCGCGCTCCTCGGGAAAAGCAGCGGGAAAGTCGCTGGCAACGTGCTGCCATGGCTGGCCCAGGGAGTTAGGTCACATAAACTGATTTGTGCAGTGCTGGGTTCCTTTGACTAGGTTCCTATCCCTTTGACTGAAAGTGCCTCAATGGCACAAACAGGGTATAGAGTCCTGTGTCCACCTGCGCTTGACGTGAGAGAGATCTTCCTCTCGCTCCCCCTTCTCCTCGAATAACGCTGAGTTCATCTCTTCCAGGAGAACGGCCACGTGAAGGTGAATGGCGATGCTTCGCCAGCTGCCGCCGAGGCGGGCAAGGAGGAGGTCCAGGCGAACGGCAGCGCTCCGGCCGAGGAGTCTGTGAAGGAGGAGCAGAGCCCTTCGGAGGCTGCCTCGGAGAAGGAGGCGGCCGAGGCCGAGAGCACGGAGCCAGCCTCTCCCGTCGAAGGGGAGTCCTCCTCCAAGGCCGAGGAGGCAGCCACCCCTTCGTCCAGCAACGAGACCCCTAAAAAAAAAAAGAAGCGCTTTTCCTTCAAAAAGTCCTTTAAGCTAAGCGGCTTCTCCTTTAAAAAGAACAAAAAGGAGTCTGGGGAAGGAGCCGAGAACGAAGGGGCGGGCGCTGCGGGAGAAGGGGGCAAAGACGAAGGGGCGGCCACCACCCCGGAGCCCGCCAGCAACGAGGAGGAGAGCAAAGCGGCCGCCCAGGAGGCGTCTCCTTCCGCTGCCACTGCCGCCACCGGCAGCACAGAGGAGGCCAAGGAGGAGGCCGGGGGCTCTCAGGAGGCCAAATCGGAAGAGACTGCGCCCGAGAAGCCTGTTGGGGAGGAGGCCAAGCCTGCCGAAGAGCAGAAGCCCGAGGAGAAGCAGGAAGAGGCGCCCGCTGCCCCGAGCGCTGCCCCCGAAGCCAGCTCAACTGAGCAAGAGGCGCCCAAAGCAGAGGAGCCGGCGGCAGCGGCGGCAGCTCCTACACAGGAAGCCCCGTCCGAGTCTAGTCCAGAAGCTCCACCAGCTGAGTCGGCAGAGTAAAAAAAAGAGAGAGAGAGAGGAAAATTTGGCAATTTTGAGATGATTGAACTTTTCTTCCCCCCCGTTTGTTTGTTTGGAGTGGTGCCAGGTACTGGTTCTGGAGAACTTGTCTACAACCAGGGATTGATTTAAAAGATGTCTTTCTCTTTTTTGTCTCTACCCACAGATCCCATCTCAGATCATTCTGTTACCACCATTCCAACCGGCAGAGGAGAGACTAAACGCCTCCCTCCGCCTCGTTCCTCCTCCTCCTCTTTTTTTTTTTTTTTTTGCATCAGTATTAATGTTTTTTGCATACTTTGCATCTTTTACTCAAAATGTAAACTTTTTTTTTTCTCTGTCAATCTATGGACATGCCCATATATGAAGGAAATGGATGGGTCAATAAAGGGATAGCAAATGAAGTGATAAGGGGTCACAGTGGGGAATTAGTGGTGCAGATAATTTGCCAAGAAAATGTGCCACAAGAAATAAGGGGTTAGTCTTTTTTAAAAAAGAAAGTTATTACAATGTATTTTGTGAGGCAGATGTTCTATAAGTTTACAACACTACAAGTCTTGACTAAGAAGGAAGAAGAAAAATTCCAATACTCAGATTTTAAAAAAAAGATCATAGTCTTAGGAAATTCATTTAAACCATAGGAACTTTCACTTATCTCATGTTAGCTGTACCAGTCAGTGATTAAGTAGAAATACAAGTTGTATAGGCTTTATTGTTTATTGCTGGTTTATGACCTTAATAAAGTGTAATTATGTATTACCAGCAGGGTGTTTTTAACTGTGACTATTGTATAAAAACAAATCTTGATATCCAGAAGCACATTAAGTTTGCAACTTTTTCCACCCTGCCCATTTTATTTTTATTTTTTTGTAAAATTGCAGTAATCTTGGACCTAAAAAGAAAAAAACCACACACAATTTTAAACTCAACCAAGCTGTGATAAGTGGAATGGTTACTGTTTATACTGTGGTATGTTTTTGATGACAGCAGACGATGCTTTCTTTTTCCAGTTGTCTTTCAGAATAAAGAATAAAAACCAGTTTCAGATGCAATGGTTTTTGTGTAGCATCTTGTCTATCATGTTTTTGTAAATACTGGAGAAGCTTTGACCAATTTGACTTAGAGATGGAATGTAACTTTGCTTACAAAATTGCTATTAAATTCCTGCTTAAGGTGTTCTAATTTTCTGTGAGCACACTAAAAGCGAAAAATAAATGTGAATAAAATGTAGAATTGGCTGTGTTTCTTTTTCTGGATACTCTTGATAGCTTAGTAGATAGCCTGTATTGTCTAAATTTGTATAAAAGAAGGCACTTGTTTGCCACTTAACATTATTCTTTATTTCTAAATTACGGATTGTGTGGTCTTCTGGCCCTACTTAAAAGCTGTATCTGTAGAGGGAAGAGCATTCAGGCCTTCTAAATAGAGATGTGCATTGGATTTTGAATGAATAACCTGTGCTACTTTGGACATATGATTGGCTAATATGTCAGATCTGGGGGGAGGGGGGACAAGATAAATGTGTTCACAACAAGCTTGCACAAGTTGACTTTAGCTATAATGGATATGTGTGTAGTCAGAGCCTTGAGGACCACTTTATGGTACATTAGATTATTATCTCTTAGCTTGAGTTGACTTGACACTTTGGCTGTGGTTGTTTGGGATATCTTGGGCTTAGCCTGAGTTCTCAAACAGGGATGCCTGAATTCAGGTGTAAGACAGCAAAGGTCCAATCTTACATGCGACTTCTTAACCATTTCAGCATCTACTTCAGTGCCTAACTTTAAGCTTGCCAGCCTTGGAAGTTTGGCCTAAAGTAAAAAAGAAAAGAAAATTTTTTTGTTCTACCAAATTGTTGAGCAATACTTTTTGTATGTTACTCCCAGCTTAATAGGTGAGCTAGCAAACAAACAAACAAAAAAGATTGCTATATTTGTCTACAAAAGGGTCACTTGGTGCTTGCCTTTTAACTGTTTAGACTTTTGGGCTAATTTCCACCAAAATTGCTCAGGGCAAAATATGCCTTAATAAAACAGTAGGCTTTTGTAAAAAACAAAAAAAAACCACAAAAAACAAATACAGAGTAGTAATGGTGTTGGAGGGTGGAAATTGATTCAAGGAAGTGTTGCTCCTAGGTTTATAGGTGAAATTTAGTGTTACACTTAACTTGCTTCCATCTATGTTTTCAGCAGTAACTTGCTTTGGAAGCAATTACACTCACTTTATATGAGAGTGGCACATTAGCACCTTGTTCCCTAAAGAACAAAGCCTGAGCTGAATGAAGTTCAATGGATTCCATACTGAATACATACTCTTATTCAGCTGTCCACATCTTTTTTTTATTTTTTATTTTTGGCTTGTATATATACTCTGGTCACCCTGGTATTATTTCTCTGTAGTGTTAGAAATGTATTGACTATTATGCTTTAAATGGCCATGGGATGAAATAAATGGATGTAAAATGAGATCTTCCATACCGGTGTCGTTCTTGGACTGCATCTGTTGGGAACACAACATTCATACCTCTTGATAAAACATTGACAACAGCATGGCTGCACGCCTCTCTTCTGTTGCTCTTGGTGCGTCATAAATGTGCGTTCTTAAGTCAGTAAAATTAAGCTGGGCTTGATTTATTTATTTATTTATTACATATTCTGCACTTAAATGGAATTCTCTCCATTTCCAAAAACTAGCTGGGACACAGTTTTATATATATTGAGGCCCACTGCTTTCAATAGGACAGAGCCAGCTGGAATGCTGCAGACTGGGAAACGCATGTATTGTAAGGTACACTTACCTCAGAACTTTGTGTGGCAGCAGTTCTCTGTAGGGCAATACCTTTGATTTGCCTCTGTATCAGGTCTTCCCAAACCTGGTATTCGCTAGATGCTTTGGACTAACAGGTGTTCTAAACCAAAGAATATGGAGGGCACCAGGTTGGGAAGATTGCTCTGTGCGATATATAGAATGGCTCTTAAACTCTCTGAAATGTGCAGATTACAAGCCTTGGCTTCTTAATTATGTTAAACTAATTATTTCCATCCATCCCCCAAAGATGTCCACTATTGCATCACTCAAGATTCTTGGTCACTTGTAGAATTAACTGCATAGTTAACAAATTTCTGCTCCTCCTCCCTGAACATGTCTGGCTTCTACAAGCAGTAGCATGAGTGAAAAGTGCTTTGTGTCACCAGTACAGTGGGTTAGCCAGCTGGAAGCAAAATGCTAGGTTAGACAGCCATGCGGCCTTCTATAGTAGTCTGCTAGATTCCAGTCTACACTGAAGTTGGATAATTGATCTTAATGTTGGACAGTCATTTATTTTCCTAGTACAGGAAACACTGCTGCGGATTTTAAATTATTGCAGGGATTATTTCTCAAACAATATACTATCAGATGTCCCATAGTGGAATTACCTAATTAAATGAGTGCCGCTGCATAGCAAGTGGAGGATTAAATCGTTGGATGTTGAAAAAGAATAGCACACAATAGAATTCTATGGAACAATTGAGTTTACCATGGAAATGTACTGCTGAATATTTTGAATTGGCAGCTAACTTACACAGTACTTGATGAACAAAAGTATTGAAGCTGCATTCTTACCTTGAAGCAGCCCATTTGTTAAATAGCACTTTCTTTCTAAGGCTGAATTATGTGCTGGTATCTTATTAAGCCTCATGTGCCAGATCGTGATTTCCATTTTTTAAATCAATGAAGAATCAGTGTTGTAATTCAAGGCATGCATATGTGATGATAATAATAATAATTTTATTATTTATACCCCGCCCATCTGGTTGGGTTTCCCCAGGCACTCTGGGTGGCTTACAACATACCTGAAAACATAATACTGTAATAACATCAGTCCTTAAAAACTTCCCTAAACAGTGCTGCCTTCAGATGTGGAAGTGAATCCCACTTCTGAGAAAATGTGGTTGGAGCTGGACTTTCAGTTCAAAAGATATGTGCTCAGACACAATCCCCATTGATTTCAGTGGGAAATGTAACAATCTCAGAGTTACTGACCCGAGACCATTTTTGTTATGTCTGAGTTGAGATTTGAATGCAAGGATTTAAGACTTGACGCTCTGTTGGCTGGCCCATCATGATCGCTAACAATGTTTTCCAGTAGCCTGATCATAGTAAATTATAGTAGGTTTTTAAGATAACAGATGAGATTCAACATAACATGAATGGATGTCTGTTGTGCTCACATACAGTAATGGGACCTTGCTCCCTTGCAGTCGCCATTCCCAAAATGATTACTCCAGAGGGTTGAGGGATCTTCTGGAGGTGATACTTCCCTAGGCTGGAGAAGAGAAACCAAAAGTCCTGTTGCACAAGTGGGTTTTTGCTCCACAAGATGCATTTGGTTGTCACCAAGCTGAGAACTGATTAAAACAAATTCTTCTGAAAGGATTGTGTGCAATAGCCAGCTTGTGCTCTATGAACATCCTGGTTGTTCAACAAATTTTAGCTGTGGAGTCTTATACAGTGCCATCCTTCAGCAAAGTGCATTGTACTTGTTCCTATACCCGCTAGTACTAAGTTCCATTGAATTCAGTGGGGCATATTTTTTAGTAAACGTGTATAGAATTGTACTGGAAATTTCACAGGCTGCCAAATATTTTAGAACAAAGATAATCTAAATCCACCATAAAGCTTTGTCTTCCACAGATTAATAACCAGTGATCCCTCCCTCCTCTCCCACTCCCAGTGCTACTATTTTTGTTAAAAAACAACAACAACCATAATCTTCCTGATCTATATTCACTAAAATTAGGTGGTGGTGATGTCACCCTATGTAAAGAATTGTAATGAAATAAATGGAAGAGCAACAAGTGTTCTGAAATGTTGGACTATGTCATAGCAATCCTATTTGGGGGGGGCATTCATGGCATAGAAAGTACCCTATCCAAGCCCTTTTGGGCTTGCACCAGTCAGGGCAGAGGCTGTGGGGTGGCACATTTTCCCCAAGCAATTTTTGTGTGTTTCCTCTTTTATTTTCTGCCCATTGGTTCCTATGGGAGGGAAATTCCCTATGCCAGTATCAGGACTGGATTCATTTTCTTCCTGGGTAGGATTCTCTGGATCCAAGGCCTCCCTCAGTCTGCCCCAGCATGCCCCTGGCACACACATTACCTATAAATAAACATCGACCCAATTCATTTCTGTTAGCTTATCTGGAATATGGGCTTGAATGTAGAATGAATGGCTTTGAAACCAACAGTCAAAGCTGTGATAAACTTACAGTATCCATTTATGCCTGTATACTCTTGACTAATTATGAGAATTACCAAATATGTTTCCTAAAAGCTATTTTAAAGGTTCTGTACCTAATGACTGTATAATATGTCCAACATTTAGTAAGTGGGGTTTGAAAGTGTTTACAAGCTGTTCCGGGCACTTTACGCCAGCTAATCAAAAAGTGGTTGTAACTGAGCTGTAATTTTAGAAAGCACTTGAATATATTTGGGATTGGCCTTTTCAAAGACCAACAAAAGTACTGACACTCAAGACTGAAACATGTTGAAGAAGAAAAGAATATTTTTTTGGAACTGTTTCCCTGCCCCTGTTGTACAGTGTTGCAGTTGATAGTTACTTGTTAACATTTTCTGGAGACAAATAAGTATGTTTGCACGCTTCTGGGCACCACAATTTCTCCAGGGAGACAAGAGAATAATAATTGTGTATGACTACATGGGACGATATAGAAGTAAAACTGCCATTAATCAATTTACCTTGGAGTAAGGAAAGCAAGTTAACATTGAAAGTGCTAATTTACTCATCTGTATGTGTGGATGGGTTTGCCTAGGGTGCTTCAAAACAAAACCAAGCTGTCTATTTAATGTGAATATGCTATGAAATTAAATTGAAGAACAATCTTGTTGCATGTGAGATTTTTCCCCATTTCCACAGGTTAAGATGCACTTCCTTTTTTAAGGAATCCAAGTCCACTAATCCTTGAACCAAATAAGAATCAAAGCAAGAAAAAGAGGGTTCTTCTTCTTTTCCTCCTCCACCTCCTCTGGTTGGGCACTGAGTATAGGTCAACTATCTGCAAAAGATCATTGGTGTCTACCTGCAAGTCTTAGCCTTTGAATGTCATCAAGCCGTCCTGGAACTGCATGGGGCAAATGTGCTTGGTTGATTTCAGCCAGAGAAATCAACATTACTTTCTGACCTTTGCTTAACCGTTTGCTGGCATTTGCATCCTGCACTGCAGAAGACTACTCCGAAGCTATGCTAATGTGTGCTGAGTTCCTTAAGGATTCCATCTCTTTTCATGCACCACATCTAGAAATCTGTTAATTTCACGTGCACCAAGGGTGGAGAAGCTCAGGCCTGGGAGTGAAGAGTAGACTTCCAGGCTTCTCTATCAGGCCCTTAGGACTGTTCTCAGACCATGTCTCTTCCCCAGGTCACCCCCCGGCCCCCCCACACACAATGGCCCTGCTCCAAGCCCTCAAGTGTGTCATCCAGTGGAATGTATCCTTGCTTGGATGTGTGCTTGAGAGAGAGAGAGAAGGGTGGGAAGGGGAAGTGGACTTTTGTGTTGTTGTTGGAATGCAACCTATTGTACAAAGGTAAAAGTTGTATCAGTTGCTCCATCCACTTTTTGCCTCTGCCTACACTGGCATGTAAGGGACGCAGGTGGTGCTGTGGGTTAAACCACAGAGCCTAGGGCTTGCCAATCAGAAGGTTGGTGGTTCGAATCCCTGTGACAGGGTGAGCTCCCATTGCTCGGTCCCAGTTCCTGCCAACCTAGCAGTTCGAAAGCACGTCAAAGTGCAAGTAGATAAATAGGTACCGCTACAGCAGGAAGGTAAATGGCGTTTCCGTGCGCTGCTCTGGTTCGCCAGAAGCGGCTTAGTCATGCTGGCCACATGACCCAGAAGCTGTACGCTGGCTGCCTCGGCCAATAAAGCAAGATGAGTGCCGCAACCCTAGAGTCGGTCACGACTGGACCTAATGGTCAGGGGTCCCTTTACTTTTACCTTACACTGGCATGTAGCCCATCAGGTAACATGGCCATGATAATGATGGGTTTTTCTCAAATTACACCTGTCCCCTACATATGTCAGCATCATACACGTGATTTGCTCAACAGGAGGACCATGCATCTTTTCTTAAACAAATTCCTAACCTCCACAGGGTTTAAGGGCAATTTGGATGGTCTGCCCCCAAGGTCTGAATCTTTCCCCCAGAAACTCTGGGGGTATTTCTTGCCCTTAATGGTGGCCCTGTCCAAACCCGGTTGATCTCTGGAATAGGAGGATGACCTGGGTGGGTGACATAATTTATCAAGTGCTTTCTTGATACATCAGGAAGAACTTTCTGAACAGTAAGAGTTTTTTAAGCAGAAGTGTTGAATGGCCATTTGTGATGGATGTTTTAGCTGAGATTCCTGCATTGATTCTATGAGTCTTCTACTGGTTTTCTGAGGAGCTTGGAGTGATGGAATAGCAGGGATGGTGGTTAGAATGCAGGGCAGAAACTCAGACTTAAGCTGACTGAACATGGACCAGACTCTAGTCTGTAGCAGCGATTGCAAAGGAAGCTGACTTCTCCATCACCATTGCATCTGCCCAGGGTCACTCTGTAGAGCTGATCCAAGTGCTGAAGTGCCCATTTCATATTGCTCTCAGTAGTGTTTATGGAGGGTGGGCTGAGTGAGAGAGCAGAAGAGCCTTGCTAGCCTGCTGTGACCAATTTGCATACCATTATTGGATATAGTCATTCATAAAATCACTCCAGCATGAACTCCATATTAACTACTGACATTGTTTTGGATGTCTGCATATGCAATGGGAGTAAAGAGGGAAAATGTAAGCGACAAGATTGGCCAACCACCCGAGGTGTGTATATGAAATGTCATTGTCCAGGATAGAACAAAATGTCAGATCAATCTCCCAGGTAAACCAGTCCAATCGTCCTGATACTTCTCTCTCCAGGCCTTGGGTTGGTAGGTCATTGACCCCACTACCTGCAACATTCTGCTTCCTTTTACACCAATGCCTATGCAAACATCCAGAACAAAATTGAATGTGGAATAACACATAGGTTCAAGTTAAATTATTAAGAAATTGTGATAAATTGTCTGCTGTTCCCTCCCTGCCTTGCCAACGATACCTTTGCTGTTTATAACCTCCATTTCTTTCTCTTTCGCAACATGACCCATTGCATGTCTGCTCAGAAGAAAGCCCTACGTGGTGTTCAGAGGAGCTTTGTGTCAGGTAAGTGTGCATAGGATGGCAGCCTCTCCCTAGATCACTGCAATTGTCTTCCTTGTCTCTCCCTGTTTATTGGATAGCAAGGGATGTGGGTGGTGCTGTGGGTTAAACCACAGAGCCTAGGACTTGCCGATCAGAAGGTTGGCAGTTTGAATCCCCGCAATGGCGTGACCTCCTGTCACTTGGTCCCTGCTCCTGCCAACCTAGCAGTTCAAAAGCATGTCAAAGTGCAAGTAGATAAATAGGTACAGCTCTGGCGGGAAGGTAAACGGCGTTTCTGTGCGCTGCTCTGGTTTGCCAGAAGCGGCTTAGTCATGCTGGCCACATGACCCGGAAGCTGTACGCCGGCTCCCTCGGCCAATAAAGCGAGATGAGCGCCGCAACCCCAGAGTCGGTCACGACTGGACCTAATGGTCAGGGGCCCCTTTACCTTTAGGGAAATCCACATACCATGTCTATTTTTATTCACTTTCTGGAACTGCTCTCTAGCACAGATTTGTCACCCTGGATTTTGGACTGGAGGAGCAACTATTTGCATATGCAGAGTCAATGACAGGCAACTGATGATGGGCAGGTTATACTTCCCTTAAACATTTTGTTTTCTGTCATTCTTCAATTCACATGTGAAAATCATGTGTCAGTACTCCAAAATCAAGCAAAACAGATGCAATGCACTGATCTGCACAGCAAACCAAAACACAGGATTAGTTTCAAAATCAAGTTATTTGTCACCGAAGTATACTTATGTTAGGAGCGTACGGAAGTGAGATTTCTACCTGTAGTGTCCCTTCACAGGTCTGTTTTGAAAAGTAAATGGATTTTGAATCTTAATGTAGTGTTTTGTGTGCCTGTTTCCTGACAGGTATTTATCTATGGAGGATAAAATTTAGATCACAATTGGCCCCTTCAGGGAGGCTTTCAATTTAAACATCTTTGTAAGTCAGGTATGTAAGCCTCATAGATTATACTTTCACTAGTATTCACCTTCCAGGGCAAAAATGACTGTTATACAAAGCTGATATTAACGAAGCTGAATGCAGCACTTTAATTAAGAATGGGGAGAAACCAATGTATTAAAAGCAGATACATATTTTGAACAGATTTGATAATTATGTAGAAAATGAATGTGGAAAGAAGTATCGGTTTTATAGAAAGCTCTCTGGTGACACAATGAGGCCACTGTAGTGTATTACTTCAGTGCTTCTATTTGTCTAGTTTGCTGCTAAATACACTGCCACAGAGAGAATATGTTTATTATATGAGTATAAAAGAAATGTTTCAAAATAGTCACTGGGGTGGGGAACCCCAAACACTATATTAAGCCAGTTCAGAAAGTCTTGGTAGGCTTTCTCCATAAATTCTGTTCTTAGTGGGCCGGATCATCAGTCTGGATAGCTCAGTTGGTTAGAGCTTGGGGTTGATAACACCAAGGTTGCTGGTTTGATCCCCACATGGGACAGCTGCATATTCCTGCATTGCAGGGGGTTGGACTAGATGATTCTCAGGGTCACGTTCAACTCTACAATTCAGTGATCTAGCAGGTTTATTTGCAATATAGGCTGGTGAAGCAGCAATTTGTGTCTCCACAACTCCTTAAGTTGGTTCTCTCCTCACCAATCAGCAGTGGAAGCTGGTTGAATGAGCATGAGCAGGCTGGAAGCTTCCCAGTGAGTTTGTGAGTGCAAATTTATTTGCACTTAAGATTTCTCAGGTCTAAATTGACCATTAAATTGAACATTATCTCCGTTGGGCTATGCTGTTTGTGTATTCACCAAAGACAAGTTTTGGTCTTTCTGTTCCATGTGAACCTCACTGAATAGCATTTTCAACACGGAGGTGCTTTGTGCAGAAGCAGTAGCATGCAAGGGCTCTGATCCCTTGCACTCCAGTGCTGCTACTGTAAGGGATATGCTACTACTTAAATGTGTGATTCTTGTGACTGTGCACGGGACAAGGTCAAGAACATTTAGATGTTGCAATTTGAGGCATGCTGCTGTAAATCTATGGGTGCAGTTTTGAAGCAACATGATGATTTCTTGATGCAATAGAACAAACAGTTTTAGGCAGAGACTAACAGTAACAAAAGAAAAATAAGTGATGCCTGTAATTAGAAATAAGGTCATGAATCAGCCCACAGTTCAGTATGAAATTAGTACTATATAGTACATAAAGTTCCAGGCAACCTCCTAAAAGAGGTATGTGTGACTGCTTGCTTATATATATTTAAATCTCCCTGACAGAGCAAGAGGTTCCCCCCCCCTTTTGCACTCATTATAATTTTTCTGTAATTCTTTTCAGATGGCTGAATTAATTTTACTGATTCAGCGAGAGTTGCTCTTTGAAAAATGGTATATGATCACTCAGCACCCAGCAGACCTTTTCAGCAGGAAACACCTTTGAGCTGAGCCATGAAACTCTTTCTGCTTAGATATTCATGTGTGTCATGTAAAAGCCAGCCAGCAAACTAGCTCATAAGTTCAGGGTGATAATGTTGTTTTCCTCCACTGAAACCCCGGTCCTAATTCATTTGTCAAAGTACATCTAGGAAACTAATCTGGCATATGTATAACAAACTGATCCACCTGGATGGCTGTTTACCAGATGGTATTGCTAGTTCTGGCCTTGACATTTTTATTTTTAGGTTTTCTAGGAAAACCTTTTGATTCTGACCTTTCAAACAATGCAGGAACCAAGTGTGTCTGAACTTGCTAGATATTTCAGCATAATGTAATATAGATTATTAAAAACTTAAATAAATTCTCTGCCCACTATTGACTACTCAGTGCTTTGCTAAAGTGCACTCATTTACACACACACACACACACACACACACACACACACACCCCTTTTAAAAAAATATCCCTAGGTTTGGAATGTTAAGCAGATGGATGCCAATATAACCACAATGTTGTATGTAACAGGATGAATGGGATTTTTTAGTCAAAATGGCATACCTGAAACCTGTAGCTGGTCCTTGTCAAATAAACATAAGGAAAAATGTGTTTTCCACCTATTACACTCTTTAAAGTTGTATTGAATGAATAAACAAATGCAGTCATATCTTGGTTGTTGAATGGCTTGGCTCCTGAACAAATCGGCTCCCGAACGCCACACACACGGAAGTGAGTATTCCGGTTTGCAAACGCTTTTTGGAAGCCGAATGTCCAACATGGCTTCTGCGGCTTCCAATTGAGTGCAGGAAGCTCCTTGGTTTTTGAATGGTTCTGGGAGTCGAACGGACTCCCAGAATGGATTACGTTTCACAACCAAGGTACCACTGTACAGGCAACACCCCATTTATGCAAGGCTTATGTTTCAAAGCACCATGCATTTAAGTGAAATCGTGTATATTTGAAATGCCATTGAAAAAGCCTGCAAACACCCTATTCTGTCCCTGCCCCACTCCTTTTTGTGACATTTTGGGGTCACTTCTGGGTTCATTGTGATGCGCATGTGCACGGCTGCACGGTTGCACACTTATGGAACACACGTAAATGGGGGGTTTCCTGTACACAGGTAAATAAGATATATAAATAAACAATACAAAAAAATAAGAGGGGGAGTACATTTCAACTGCTATTATATTATCTGCCTCCTCAGAAGTCCCAATATGTTCAATGGGATTTACTCCCAGGGAAGTGTGTGTATACAATTGCAGATCTAACTTCTTAAAACAACAAAAAACAAGCCCAAAATATAACTATGCTATCCCAAAGTCCACTTAGAATAAGTCCATTATATAAAAGTATGTATCTCTAGGTCCTTTGAGAAACTTAATGATGCCTAGTTGATGCTAGCATGACAAGGTCTTTTCAGTGGTGGTTCCCCTGTTGTAGAATGCCCCCTCCCCAGTGAGGTTTGTCTGTCTCCATCATTATTGGCTTACAGGAGGAGTTTGAAAACGTTCCAAGCATTTGGTGGTTAAAGAATACTGTTTATAGCAACCTTGAGATCATCAAGTAATGTTTTTAATTGTAACTGTTTTTAAAATGTTTTAAGTGCTCAGGATGCTATATATATATATATATATATATTGTGGATGGGTTTGCTGCCCTGGGCTCCTTCTAGTTTTTTATAGCACTGACCACAAACTATTGAAGTGAAACAGCTGGAGTGGAAAAATTTGCAGAAACTGTGTTAAGTTTCCTTTTTACACACTTTCATTGTTTTCTTTTTAAAATGTGATGGGTTGTAACCAAATATTATGTTTGCACCTCAGGGTTTCTATCCCCCCTCCTTCCTCCTGCAGCCTCCTTCTCTAAATATAAGGTTACCTTACAGTATTTTGTGCTTCTTTCTTTGTTCACATTTTACAAAGCTCTGATGAGTGGATGAATTTTTGCCTAGGTCTTATTTTTTTGCTCTTTGAGCCATCAAGTTCATGATATACCGTTGGCTTCCAGTTTCACTAAAATTATTATCCATTTTTCTTTTGAAAAGATCAAAAGGGCAAGAGATAAATTTTGCAATTGCACCCTTCAAGTGATGCCAAAGTTCGTCTGCTTGCTATACTAACTTCCTCGTTATCATACAATTAAACAGAGGACCTGATTTTTTTTTTAAATTGCAATGAAATATCCAAAGCTTTCTTGCTTTGGTTTAAAAGAATCTTTGATCATACTTTTTTAACAGATTTCCAAATGCAATATATTTTGCAGGTGGGTGGGGAACACATTCAGGTCAAACTGAGGCTGTAATTTCTGCCTTTGATGATGGAATGTGAATTTTTGGTAACAATGAAAGCTGATCAGTGCAGATCATGAGCTTGCTCCAGATGTATTAGATATTTCACGGTGTCCATTTCCATCTAGGTCAGGTGTTTGCATTTGTACATATTATGTCTATGCATGCCTTCTTTTGCAACAAGGATCAGTTTTGTTTGTGGGTAGCCAAGATGGGCGGACTCATCTCACATTGGATCACAACTTGGACTTCCACCCAAAGGGTAGTTAATTGACTTGGTCATAAGGCTGTGGTGAAGAGTCAGGCAGTGCCTTTTTTGATGGAGCATCTTAATTGCCCTGACCTACTATATTGGGGGGGTTTTTGTATCAGAAATTGAAAATCCTCCTTGAGATTTCTGGCATTTTGCTTCACAAGCATTCTCTTAGGTATCTGCTATTGGCCTTTAATGTGTTTCCTTGTGTTAGTTGCTGTAATCTGAGGTGTTGGAGTGGTGTTTGTGTGAGAGAGTAAAGGGTGAGGTACACCTTGCTATAGAGGATAAAGTGCTTGTGCACCCTGCATCCAAAGGATGGAATCCTGCCATAGGGTGGTTTCCAAGCAACCTTTAATGTCTTACAAAGAATTTCATTTATACAGATGGCATTTATCTTTCAACCAAAGTGTGCAAACCTTTTATTTGCATTTGCAAAAGCTTTTGAGGATTTTGTGTGCATGGATGCATGATGCTACCATTACTAGTCCGTCACTAGACCACTAGTCTTAACCACTGAGCCTCTTGGGCTTGCCGATTGGAAGGTTGGCGGTTCGTATCCCCACAATGGGGTGAGCTCCCATTGCTCTGTCCCAGCTCCTGCGAAGCTAGCAGTTTAAAAGCATATCAGCGCAAGTAAATAGGTACCACTGTGATGGGAAGGTAAACGGTGTTTCGATGTGCTCTGGTTTCCATCACGGTGTTCCGTTGCACCAGAAGTGGTTTAGTCATGACCCAGAAAGCTGTCTGTGGACAAATGCCAGCTCCCTTGGCCTGAAAGCGAGATGAGTGCTGTAACCCCATAGTCACCTTTGACTGGACTTAACCATCCAGGGGTCCTTTCCCTTTCCCTTATTACCTATATCAACCTTTCCCAACCTGGTTCCATCCAGATGTTTTAGACTACAAATGCCATAATCCCTGACCCTTGGCCATGTTGGCTGGGGGTGAAGGGAGCTGTAGTCTGGAGGGCATTAGAGCATGGAAGACTGACAGAGATATTGAGTCATGTCAGACATAACTTTGTAATGTTTATCATCGTGTTTTCAGTCTGATCTTCCCATCGCACATCCTTCCACTCCTTCTCCTGCTTTGGGCGAGTTCAGCTCTGCTGACTGGGCTCACTGGAGCAGCGTTTTTAAGATTGCTTCCATTTTCCCCTTAGCACTTTGATGTCCAGATGAAGCACGGGTCATTTTAACTCCTTGCCCCTTTCCCCCATCCTCACGGCTTTACTTCCGTGAGTAAAACTGTGGCACCAAGATCACTTGCAAATAAGCAGCTGTATATGTGTGTTCATTCCTTCATGCTGTGAATAAAGGAATGCGGTTTCTTTTCTTCCTCTTTTCTTAAAACTGGAAAAGTTAATAGTTCAAACTGGAGCTTCACTGTTGTGCAAAAGAGTTTCAATCAACGGATCCTTGATGGCATTTGTTTGGAAAGTTATCATAACTTAAATCAGTCTACATTCCTGTGCACTTAACACAAATATTCTTCTTTTAAAAGGCCTCCTTTCTAAATCT